TCCATTGGCCCTGTGTCCACAAGGGACTCAGAATTCCTGAGTTTGCCTTCCATGGCTGCCACCCAGTGGTCTTGGGCCATTTTTCTCAACCTCTGAGCCTGTTCCTTCACTTATAACATGGGACTCAAAATGCCCACTCACCTGGTTGTCTGGGACTTAAGTGAGACCCCACATGGGAAACACATGGTATGGGATCGGGCACTAGCAGGTGCTCGGACAATGAGTGCCAGCTGTATCACTCAATTACACACAAGGGCGGCTCTGTCCACATGTCGGCTTCACAATGCCCACATTGCCCCAGCTTTGCCACCTCATGTCCCCAATGCAGTGGATGCCTCACTGGGGTGGGGGCTTGGGAATACTGCAGAAGGTCAGAGGGTGGGACAGCTTTTCCCACAGAGGGGGATGGCTGTGCAGGCTGTTTGTGCCCTAGCTTCCCTCTGTCTCATTAATATTCTTGTCCCAGCCAGCCTGACAAGAAAGCTTTGTTGAGGGGGCCTGGGAAAGAGCCAGCAGGGCCTGTGTGTTTGTTTGTGTGTGTGTGCGTTTGTGTCCTCCTTGTGGACAGACAGACCTCTGCACACAGCCCAGGAAGAGAGGAGGCTTGGCGTGGGGCAGGGAGAGTTTTAATGCAAGACCTTCCTATTCTGTGATGATGAAGGTGGTGATGATAATGATGATGACAACGACTGCTAACACTTACCCAACACTCATCTAAGCTTAGGGAGGAGATACCATTATCATCCCCATTTTATGGATGAGCAAACAGATGCTCCAGGAAGCAAAGCAATTTGTCCAAGGCCGCACAGCTAGTAAATGACAGAGCCAAGATTTGAACCCTGGCCCCCTGGGTCTTACCCGCCTGATCCTTACGCCAAAAGAATCATAAAATGATGACAAGAGAAGGTAATAAAGAAAAGCAGTGAAAAACTGTGTTTGGATTGCAGGTTAGGGAGTCAGACAGCCTGGGTTCCAATGCCATCTACTCCCTCTTACTATCTGTGAGATCCTGGACAAGTGACAACCTTTTGGACCTCAGCTTCCCTTTTTGTAAGATGCGGATAATAACAGTACCCCCCTCCTCCGTAGTCTGGCACTTGCTGAGAGCTCAGTGGCTGTTAGACATTCTGGCTTCGTTATTATTTCTGTTACTTGAGTACCTACTATGTGCCATCACATGCTAATGACTTTAAGTGCATCAACTCACAGGATCCTCATGCAATCCTCCTAATAATGGTCCTTGGGAAGTAGGTGTTGTCCCCATTGGCAAGTGCAGAAAATGATGATGGGAAAGAGGTGGAGAGGAGGGGTCGGGGTGAAAAGACAAGAGGAAGTGCTCGCCTGGGCAGTACATATACTAAAAATTGGAACGGTGCAGAGATTAGCATGGCCCCTGCGTAAGGATGATACGCAAACTCGTGAAGCGTTCCATATTTAAAAAAAAAAGAAGAAGAAGAAGAAGAAGAAGAGGAAAGAAAGACAAGAGGAAGCTGCCAGAGAGGAAAGCGCAGCCGGCTTCCCCCTCCCCTCCTGGAAGCCCCTGGCGGCCTCGGGTCTGGGGGCGGGGACTGGCGGGGGCGTGGCCGGCCCTGGGGCCTCATTGGCTGCCCGGAGGCGCCAGGGGAATAAAGCCCGGGACCGGGACCAGGCAGCCCCTGCGACAATTCAGAAGACAGTCTAGCTGTCCTCCCTCCTCTCCGTGGGCCGTCTACCCAGCCTGTCTCTCCCTCCCTTCCTCCCTGGCTCGCTCTGTCCAGCCGCCCAGTTGGATCGCCTGGTGAGTGGCCCCGTCCTCAGCCCCACCCCAGGACTGGAGTACCTGGGGCCAGCCGAGGGTTTCCCAGCGGGAGAGGGGGAGATAGAAAATCAGCTGAGCATAAAAACCTATGCTTTGGAGCCAGACTGGCCGGGTTAGATTCCAGCTTTGTGCCTCAGTTTCCTCATCTGTAAAATGGGGATAATAGTAGAACGTTCCTCCTAAGATTGTTGGGAGGTGAAATGAGAGTGCACTTAAAGTGTCCAGCCCAGATACAGTAATTGTTAATATTTACTGCGCGCTCACTATGAGCTGAGTGAGAGGGGGAGTGACTTCTCACTGCGAGGCGTCGCGCGGGCAGACAGGGGCTTCAGCGTCCTCTCCCTTCTCCACGCCTGGCACTGCCTCCTTTTTGAAGTCTTGTGTTACCCGGGCCAGAGCTTAACGGATGCCTGTTTTACAGATGCCCGTTTTACAGAAAGCCGCGGCTGCCTGTAGGGGGAGCCCTGCCCCCTTACCTGGAGGCGTAACTCGGGACAGGTGATGGGAGGGGCTTCCCAAATCTACCTGATAGGAGTCTTTATGGCCATCTCCTCCCACCCCCAACCAAGAGGACTCCCTGAGGCTAGGCCGTGGGGATCCACACAGGCCCTTCAATGTCAGAACAGCATGCCATTGTTTGGGCGTGTCCTCGACCATTCTTGCTGCCATAACAGAATACCTGAGATTGGGCAATTTATAATAAACAGAAATGTATTGGCTCAGGTTTTGGAGGCTGGGAAGTCCACTATCAAGTGGCAGACATCTGGTCAGGGCTTTCTTGCTGGGTCACCCCATGGTGGAAGGGCAAAGAGACGGGGAGAAAGAGGGAGAAATGGAACTCTCAGCCTCAGGCCCTTTTATAATCAGCATTAAGCCATTCAAGCAACTAAGCAACTCCCAACACTGTTGCACTGAGTATTAAGTTTCCAACACATGCTTTTTGGGGATGCATTCAAACCATATCAGTGGTAACCTCCAGGAGCTGAAAGTTAATTTAAACAGATTCAGGGATGTCCCTGTTTTGGAGTTCCCCCAATCTCTGACTTTTACTCAAGAGATCTAGGGGAGAGGTGGTGTCTGGTTAAGTCCCCCCTCCCAGTCCCTGAATATTGGTTAACTCAGACATGGGGTGCCCATATTTGTGGGGTGCTGAAGCTGGTGGGGTGGTCAGGATACCCACCCCTCACTTTCCTTCTGAATGAGGGATATCTGGCCCAGTCTAGGAGCTGGGATGTCTGAGCCAGGAGCATCCAGGTCAGGGGCTGGATGTTGTCATTGGATGGCTGGGGAGCAGGGAGGGGAACTGACTAGCCACCCTTGCCTGGACTTCAGGGATGGTGAATTGGGATGTCTGAGCCAGGAGCATCCAGGTCAGGGGCTGGATGTTGTCATTGGATGGCTGGGGGGCAGGGAGGGGAACTGACTAGCCACCCTTGCCTGGACTTCAGGGATGGTGAAAGTGGGGGGAACTAGATAGGCCCCTCAGCCAACCACCTGCTGATCTCTTCTGGCTCAGCCCAAGTTGGGGAGAATCAAATCTCCCCTGTGACTCTCAGCAGGAGAGAGGGAAGAATGAAAAGGCCGAGTGGGCACACGTGGGTGTGGCCAGACTCTGGGCCAGCTCAACTTCTTAATCACCGCAAGCCCATCCAGAAGGGGAGGCCCGAGCCACACCCATTGGTCCCAGAGAAAGCCTGGGCTCTGGAGCCTACTGCCTGAGTTCAAGTCCTGTCTCCCCCACTCACTAGCTGTGTGACCTTGGGCAAGTGATAGTTAACATTCCCGTTGCCATTGCCGTGTAGCAAACGACCCGAAAACATGACCTAAAACAACAGCAATTGTTTTACCATTATCTATCATGGTTCTGGGGCTTGACTGGGCTCAGCAAGGCAGTTCTTACTTGGGGGCCCTCATATTGCTGCAGTGTGACACTGGCTGGGCTAGAGTCATCTCAAAGGCTTCCTTGCTCCCAGGTCTGGCAGTTGACTCTGGTCACCACCCGGGATCTCCCTGGAGCCATCAGGTGGAACACCTCCATGTGGCCTGCGCCAGTGGCCTGGGCTTCCGTCTAGTGTGGCGGCTGGGTTCTGAGAGGGAGCTTCCCAGCAAGGAGGGCAGGAGACCTCTGTCACTTTTTCTGACCTAGCCTTGGGCACAGTGAGAGTGGGCTGTGCTGGCTCTTCTCAGCTCCACATTGGTAGTTTGAAATTGGCCCTGGAGAGAGTGTGTCCATCATGGAAGCCACACACACTATGAACCCGGGCTTTCTTTTCTCTCGGAGGGTTGATCGTTAAACATTTACCAGCAGTTACAGGAGCCCAGGGCTCAAGGGGAAGAAGCTATACCCGCCTCTCACTGAGAAAAATGTCCATGTCACATCATGAGAGGTGCATATGGGATGGGAAGAGCTCATGTTGTGCCCCTGGAAAACACAACTGGAGCCTGTTTCCTCACCAGGAGAATGGGATAATAACACCACCTGCTAGGATTGCTAAGAGTAAATGAATTAATATCCTGGCACAAGCTAATCACTTTATAGGTGATTATCAAATACCGTAATAATTATTATAAAAAATAATAATAATAAAAAAGCTTTTCCAAACTGGATACTGGACTTTCCAAAGGTTAGTTGTTTTTTTTGGTTTGTGTGTGTGTGTGTTTTATTTTTTTTGAAGCTGGCCAGTACAGGGATC